TTTTTTTTTACAGTAAACTAGATTCTGCTATTGTAAATGGCAATGCCGTATTTCCTTTTTCAAATGCTCTCATGGTGGTAGAGAAGAAAATAGGAATCTGAAACGATCTTTTTAAAATGCGAGTTGGCACTTCTTGTTATAAAATGGGATAGGGGTTAAATGTCAGTTTAGCTCAGTAATGTGGCTGTCTGGTTTGGGGATACCAGAAAGAGTGCTGTAATATTAATTGAAAAGGAAATTTTGGCCTCTATATGTAGAATGTCTCATTAAGCCCATTTTACTCTTGCGCTGGACAGGTTAATGGGTTTCTTGCCAAAAACTTAGTTAATATCATTTAAATGCATAATTTGAGGTTTGAATGTTGAGACCCAAGTGACAAAGGAGGCTTTACGTTACAAATTGCACGGCAAGGGATGCTGAAGTCTTATAGCATGGGATGGATCTCAGAACCACTTAGTATTTTAGTATTTCTGTCTGAGCTGAAGGGAGGGTGGTCTCTGATTATGAAACAAAGGGATGGCCTGCAAGAAACTTTAAGGTGTGGTTTTCCACCTGTGAAAACTTGAGCAGTGCTTTCTATGAAGACCATCCAATTTCAAAGCTTGAGAGCTTGCTGTGCTTGATAAAAGTAGCTTTAGCTTGTACCTTTTTTATGTCTGAAGACACCTCTTATCATTTCTGTCTGAAGGCTTGTAGTTGCCGACTCTGACGTACTGCACACACAGAGCAGAGCGCTATGGCTTGTATTAATCGCTATTGATTGCATCACTGCTGCAGCTTCACAGTAAGAGATGATTGTGCTGGTAGTTGTGTAGCAGTCTGTTGTTAGTGGTTTGGGAGTATTGCTGTGGGGGTGGGCGTGCGGATGTGTATGAGAGTGATAGTGGTCATGTCTCCAGAGTAGGATGACCACCCCTGGCAGCTGCATCCTCGCACTAGGCTGCTCCTAAAGGGCTGTCTCCTGAACAAGAAAGTGTAACCACTTTCTGCAATAGGGTTAAGTACTGTTGAGCCAGAGTATCTGGTCATCAAGCCCATACTAATTAACACACATGCAGCTAAATGGCAGACAGTTCAGAAAGTAGATGGCGCAGAGCAGCATGACGTGGTAGAGGGGCATCACTGCAAACTGACCATGCTACGCAATCTAGACCTAGCTGGAGACCGAGACATTTGGTCATGGAGATGTGCATAAAATCTTCCCTGTGACACTAGACTTTTGCCTCCTAAAACTGAAGCCTTTTATTTGGCCTCTAAAATGTTTCCACGTAAGTTCAAATTCAGCTCTACCTAGCGTAGTCTCTCTCCATAACCCTGAGTTGTGAAGCAGCAGTGAAGTTCCACTTCTCTCAGCCCAACACGTGCAGGGCTGCGGTTCAACGTGCTCCAGTGCTTTTTGTTCTGAGCAGTTGAGAAGCAAATCGCTGAAAATCCTTTCACACCAGAGAACCCCACATTCCCCTTCAGTTTGGCACTGCTGACTGCAATTGTCACTAAATATCATCGTGCTGCCGGATGAACAATATTTGACAATGCAGAGGGGTGGGTGACAAGGGCCCTTCCGACTCAAACTAGGGAAAGCAAATTAGCCGTGTTTTAAAACCTTATGCAATCACTGCTGAGGAAGCTTACGGCTATCGGCAGCTGCTCACACAGTGGCTAATTCTGGAACGTGCCTACGTCAGAGTGTATCTATGTATTTAACACCCATTACTTACATAACCAGTGTCAAAGGCTCTTTGTTGAATGGGAGTGCCCTGGAAGCATTATGTATCGTGCTTTTCTGCAAAGTAGCTCGCAGCCCGGTGTTGTTAGCACCCCTTATCACTAACGTAAGACCTGGCAGAGACGGTATTATGTCATAGACCTCGGGTGGAGGGAGCTAGGTAAATCTCACCGTCCTGATCCTGCAGTGCAGCGTAGGTAGGTGCTAAGCTGATGGGGAGAGAGGAAATCACTCTGCTTCATCTGCAGCTCTTGTGTTTGACAGGCATAGACATACTGAAGCTCGTGGCAGCCCAGGTCGGAAGCCAGTGGAAGGACATCTACCAATTTCTGTGCAGTGCAAGTGAACGGGAGGTCGCAGCTTTGTCCAACGGCTACACGGCCGATCACGAACGGGCTTATGCCGCCTTACAGCACTGGACCGTCCGAGGCCCTGAAGCCAGCCTCGCTCAGCTCATCAGCGCTCTGCGTCAGCACAGACGTAACGATGTTGTAGAGAAGATCAGGGGCCTGATGGAAGACACAGCCACGGTAACATATATAGCTGCTGCCTGAACAGCTCATTCAGTCTTCGGCATTACTTTTTTTTCTGTACAGGACTATAAATTGCCAAGCCAGCAAACCTTCCCTAGCTAAGAGGCTATTTTCCAACTATGGTAGAGGCTAGAACTTCATTCCTTTTAGAACCAGAGAGAAATTCAGATCCAGCTCCTGTAGACTTTGATGCCAGCTTGTTCTGCCTCCAGGGTAAAGCAATGGCCATGTGTATTCCCAAGGGGTCTCCAGCCCATGCATCCTTTTATGGAGCTCATAACTGTGCAAGGCCTTACATTCAGGCTTTGTTTTTCCTCTAGGGCTGAAAATTCTGCACTTTCATTTAAAATAGGATTTTGTAGAAGCAGCATGGGATGGGATGGGTGGGTTGGGGAGTAATTAGTACCAAAAAACCTACGTATGTGTTCAGCTGGCATAAATCTTGCTTGAGTAGAGGTGTGACAAGTGGAACCAAATACGGGCCAACTCTACTGTTTTTCATCTGCTTTGTGCAGACCGCCCCATCTCTTAATGGGTTGCAGATCTTTTACGTTGGCCACCTGTTAACTACCTCAAAAGTTAGTCAGATAAATGAGTTGGACCTCTGTTGGGAGAAAGGAAAGGGAGGACAATTTGGGATAAACACAAGCGGGATATTCTTCCCGAAATCATTATAAGGTTACAGCATTAATTGTTACACACTAATTTCATTCAAGGTTTCAGTGCCCACCTTGGCAATGCCTCTGACTTGGCACATTACTGTAAGGTGATACAGTTTTGGTGGCGGGGGGGGAATGGACCCTTTCTAGCTGTGAAGAGAGCTCTCTAAAGATTAGGACTGCCTAGCTAGCAGCCTGCAGGCTAAACTGTGAGGGGCTAAACCATGTCCCCTGGGCCCCTTATCCAGCCACCACTCGAGTCCCCTACAGCCCTGATGTAACAGCAGTCAGGGCTCTGGGCTCCTTCTCTCTCCCTCTGGCTCCTGCTACCTGCCCATGCTGGAGGGATGGGGTGGTGCAACTCATGGTGCTGGTGAAGCCCCCGGCAAGGGAGCTGAGGTGGGAGCTGGCAAGCTCACACAGTGCAGAGGGGAGCTGCCTGCATGTGTAATGCAGTTTTGGGGGGAAGGGGGAAAGAAGCCACTTGCACACGTGCAGCAGGAGAGGAGCCACCCAAGGGGCTCTGGTCTGCCCTAGTGTGGCCTCTGCTAGTGCAGTCCATGTGGCGTGTGGCCTCTGGGCACTCAGGTGGACAGCCCTGCTCTAGATTCTGCAGCGCAATTACAAGTCAAGAGGTTGCAAAAGTTAGTTGCTGCTGGCAGTGCGATATCCCATTTCCCTTGTTACAGGTAGCCTGCAACCTCTTTGCCCTGCTAGGTACTACATTTGGTAGAATGTTTATGGCGTGCATTAAAAGCAGCAGTGTTACCAGCATGCCGTCAGCTTTGGGATCTCCCCTGACATTGCAGCTGTGAGACTGCATTAGTAGGGTTTTACACTGGTAATAGTGACTTCTGAGAGAAGTCTATCTGAGTTTTCTCCGAGAGTCTCCCTGTAACCCTACCGGCCATCTGTATACTGAGCAGAGTTTCGTTTTCCATTTTTAAATAATGAATAGCTTGGTTTTGTGGTGTTCAGCACAGCAGTTTCTATTCTAATTTAAGTAGCCAAGTACTTTTGCATTTTCCTTGCCAGCTCGTGTAATTAAGCTGTATGTAACTGTCTTGTTTGCATGCTGTTCTCCAATATTTCTTGTATCAAAGACTTAAAAATGGAAGTGGAAAGCATGAGACATAATTGTACCTAAAATCAAGTCCGGACAAATGGAGGTGTATATCCTTTTTCTTAGACCATGCGCTCATGGCCTTCCTGTGGTATGCTGCACATCAAAAGGACAGGCTGACTTTCTAGTGTCCTTGAGTATATAACCAATTGTGTATTCCTCTGGCTATGTCTTGACATTGAATGTCTAAGTTGAATGTTGGACTAAAACATCAGATAAGATGATATTTGGTTTGGATTTGTCAACACTCAGCCCAATTGGCAAACTTTAGAAGATTGCACAAGAACAGGACCTTCATTATTGGAGGACGTGTTGAGGCATTGCTGTCAGTAATTCAGTTAAAACCACTGGGCACTATACATGGTTCTTCTCCTTGCCAGGAGTTCTTGTTTGCATGGTTTGAGAGACTTCTTGAGGATTAGTTTTTTACAGCATGACTGGGTTGTTTTTTGGGGAGCAAGTGTTTTAACTGCTTGATGTTTCCCTGTGCTAACTAGCAGATTTGAACATTATATCTGATAAGAGGACTTGATGGGAGGAGGAGGGGGCAGGCAGGAACAGGTCTCTGTCTCTCAGAGAATTGATATACGAGTTCCTCTGAGGACAAGCAAAACAAGCCCCATACAGCTTAATTGTGTTGTCCTTACTGCCTGTAGTTCTGGGTATATGAACAAGTCTGCATGACTTGGAAAACCTCTCTTTATTAAATGTAATGCATGGAGCACGTGATTAGCACTGTGCCGTGCTAGTCATAGAAGGACTGTTTTAGGCTAGGGATGGACATTGCACACAAACTGACTCAAGTCATCAGAAACTGGTTTAAACCTGTAACAGAACAGATGGTCAGTGCACATAAACCAGTTTGAAAATGGCTGGAACAGGTTTAAGATAAACTTGGTTGAATGTAGTATCAGACTTAACTGGTTTGGGTGAAACCGGTTTATGCAGTCTGTCCCAGACCCCTTGCTGGTTTAAGTTAAATCAGACTCTCGCAACATCCCGGCATGCTGTCTGGGCTGGGTGGGACTCTGGCCCCTACCCTCTGCTCCCTGGCTTTAGCTCTGGCAGAGACTGCAGGCACAGAGCGTCTGCCTGGCTTCCTCCTGCTCTTCCCCTCCCCTCACCACTTGCTGCTAAGATGGGAACCCCGTTCCTGCTGCCGTATACAGACACCTCAGCATTAGCTAGCAGACCACATGCTGGCTATGGTCTGTGCTGTGGCAGACAGCAGTGTCAGCTTAGGGCTTTTTGGAGCTAATCAGTTGCTCAGCTGGTAATGTCCCTCCATTCCTTCCTTGTTTAAGAAGAGCTTGAACTAATGAGAGCAGCTGTTTCTCTTCTGATGGGGTGATGAATGCTGATAACAGAACTGATGTATGCTCTCTTATCAAGCCGGGGGAGAACCACTCCCTAATCCTGCTGGGGCCTGACCATGCCCTCCTCAGTTCAGCCCTGTGCAAGGGAAGGGGGGGCTGCTCTAGCACCCCCAGCTTCTAGCCTGAGCCACTGCAGGCCTGTGCCTACATTTCTGGGATGTCTATACAGTTACAAACTGATTTAGCCTAGCCAGGCTAGACTGCAGAAGCTGCAAAGATTGAACCATCCAGGCTCCGGTTTTTTGAATGTCTGTCCCTAGCCTTAGTGTGAGATGATGAAACATTTTACTGTGAAATGTTGCAAAACCATTCATAAGAAGACAGTTTGAAAACTTGCCAAGACCTTTGCCTCAGTTCAAGATTGTACTTGGGCTGACAGGCAAGTTGAGACCAAATCCTTTCGTCTCTTGCAGTAGTAATTCAGATCGTATCTGCTCTGGAAGCTACGCTGTTGTAGGCTCTGTGCAAACGCACAGGAATACACAGACCTCTCCTCAAGTGTTCAGCCTGCTGACAAGGCCATGCCTCGCCCTGGCAGCGGGTTGGGCTGAGAAGGCGGTGCCCTCTCCTCTCGCACTGGGAGAGTCCGTGGAATTCCTCCTATGCCAAGAGTAGGACTTGGCCCTACATTATTTCATCTGTAATATAAAACAGAGCAGCAAGGCCACAGCCACAGCATCGCTGAGTGTCTTTGCTGCCTTGTCAAGCAGTCTTGCATGTGCCTGTCTGGCAGATGGGCTGTGTTTGTGGAAAACAGCCTGAGTGCTGCCAAGGAAGGGATGTAGTTCGAGGTGCAGTGGGAGTGCTTCTAACCAACCCTCTGGCAGATGGCAACAAGGCTGACGGCTCTGCTATCCTGCACAGTAATTGTACTTGGGGATTACGGGAAGTGGCTTAGAGGCTGCAGAGGGAGTCTGGCTACCAGGGCATAAGTAGTGATGAGATCACCAGGAAGCCCCCTCCTCATGCAGCAGTGCACCAGTCTGAACTTGCAGGGCAGTTCCTCTGAAAAAGGAGCTTCCTTTCTGGAGCATGGTCTGTCTGGTCTTGGGCATCAGATCTGGAGACTGGCAATGTGTTGGGCATCTTGTTTTTTGCTTTCTAGTGATTGCTTTGGTTTTCTTTCCTGGAAGTGGCAAAACTAGGTCACTGCTCTGTGCCCCAAGTGAAGCTTAGCTCATCCGCAGCAGCATAACAGGAGTTGCAGTTCATAACATGCTGTGTGCAGCCGGTGCATCCTCCTGCGCAGGTCCTCTCATTTGGGATTTACTAAAGTATATCCTTAATCAACTTTCACCCATTGCCCTCACCTACAGCAGCAGCGTTCTCTGGTTTGGACACGGACGCAGCTTTGTCTACGCTGCTTCTGATTCGAACCTCCTGGCGTATGCATTGGGACGCAGCCCGATTGTGCGAGGCTCCCCCGCTTCTCTGGGCAAGGCACCTTCTGCCTTGTGAGCAGCACTTGAAATTAATCCCCCTGCTGCAACTCTTAATTTTTAATTGATACTGACACCTAACCTTTCTGGGGCTGCAGTGCCAACAGCTGGCTTCCCACTGATAGACCTTGTCCCTGGATTTACCTCTGACCTTCCTTCCCTCCCAACTGGGCGGCCTCTGGGCTAACTAGGCTATTGGCACCAGACTTTCATTTTAGAAGCACACATCTTTCATGGTAAACGTTCCTTGCCGCAATCCCTGTGCTGATCCTCTGGGCAGACTGTGCCAGCTAGTTAACATGCCGAGGCAGGATGCAGGATGTTAAACAAATGCTAAGAAGCACCCAAGGGTATGGGTTTGACATTGAAGGTAGGTGCATTTCTGCACATTATTACTGTC